ATTGTTCTTAATAAAAAATATAAAAATTTATTCTCTTAATTTTTAATTTTGAACTTTTGAAATGAATATCTTTAATTTACTATGACACATAACATCTGGTATGTAATTATTTACTGTATTTTTGGGTGTGAATCAAATTTATAAATTTTAGTTCTTTGATTATTTCTAGATGAAATTTTTTGATTTTGCAAAAAAACTGTTAAATTAGTATCTCAAAAAAAAAAAAGCAAATAAATATGTGCCCTATTCAAAGTAAGAAATCTATTTAAGTACATAAATCCTTACATTTGATCAATTTTATTTTTGCTATATAATATATACAGCTTAAATAAAAATAATATTTATTCTAATTTATCAACAGTATTTTAACATATAAAACAGTTATATCGCTGTTATTAGAAGTTTTATACAAAGATAATATTTTGTTGAGAAAATAACAGTAGCTGTTATTTTGAAAGTAACAATAACACTGTCATTATAACAGTTTGTAACCATTATTCAGATTCATAACAAGTTGTCATCACTAACATTGGTATAACTTACATTTTTATCGTCTTCAGTATCCCAAATGGTTATTGAAATACCAACTCAAAAATTGTATATACAATTGGTCACCATGTTTTGTAATCACTTGATAATTGATAAAGGAAAAACCATACCTTCTCTTCACCATCCGGTGCTGAACCTCATTGTGAATGTTGATTACTAATGTGCTTATACATTAAATTGAAATTTTACACACGTTTTTGTACTTAAATTTTCCAGTTTATAATTACTATTTGCACTTGAACGAATATTCCTTATTAAATAAATATTATGGTAAATGATAACTTTTCAAAATAACAATTTTATTTGAATTAGTGTAATTTTGTATGTAGGCGTTCTGATATTAATGTATGATTTTGTACTTTTTAAAGGTTTCTTTAAATCCAGTTCGTATTTTAAAACATCAAGCTGAAGAAGACAAAGGAGAAAATGCACGTTTATCTAGTTTTATTGGTGCAATTGCTATTGGAGATTTAGTAAAAAGTACTTTGGGCCCCAAAGGAATGGATAAAATATTAATATCAGCTGGACGTGGAGGAATGGATGCTAAAATTGAGGTAACAAATGATGGAGCTACAATTCTTAAAAGCATAGGAGTAGATAACCCTGCTGCTAAAATTTTGGTTGATATGTCCAAAGTACAAGATGGTGAAGTTGGTGATGGAACTACATCTGTAACTGTATTAGGTATGATATTTTCCTAACTTAAATTATTCTTATAATAAATATTTTATGGTATTTGATCTATTTCTTTGAATTTTATAATTTAGTATGTATTATCATATTAATAGTGGTTAATTCATTAAAGCTTGATTGAGCAAATTAAAATCATCATTTATAAGAATCGTTATCAAGTTAAATTAAGCTAGTAAATAACTAAAACATTCAAATTTTTTTTATGTATTTTTATTTAAAATGTTTAGAATTAATTTTCTTTAGAGTTATTACCAAAAAAAAAACATGGTTTCTTGTACAATTGTTATGTAATTAAAATATTGGCACTCTATTATGTTTTAAAAATATCTCTTCAATATTTAAACTTTTTTACTATCAAATTTATGAGATGTCAAACAATTCATTATAATTATCACATTAAAAAAAAATCACTAAAAAAATGATATTTATTTATTGATGTAATTTATTAAATCATCATGAGTAAAAAATATTAAATTTATTAAACAAATATAATGTATGACATACTATAATTAAATGATTTACAAAATTTTACTATAGCTGCTGAACTATTACGTGAAGCTGAAAAGTTGGTAGATCAAAAAATCCATCCTCAAGTAATTATTTCTGGTTGGCGTAAGGCAACCAAAATTGCTCATGATGCACTACAGGCAGCTGCAATGAATAATAGTAAAAGCGAAGAAACATTCAGAGAAGATCTTCTCAATATTGCTCGTACTACCTTAAGTTCCAAAATATTATCTCAACATAAAGAACATTTCGCTAAATTATCAGTTGATGCTATTTTACGCCTTAAAGGCTCTGGAAATCTATCAGCTATACAGATAATAAAATTAAAGGGTGGCTGTTTAGAAGATTCATTTTTAGATGAAGGTATTTTATTCTTATAGTTATTTTGAATAATTTAAAAATACATTTTTTTACTTTAGGATTCCTTCTTGACAAAAAAATTGGTCAACATCAGCCTAAACGTATTGAAAATGCTCGTATCTTAATTGCAAATACACCTATGGACACAGATAAAATTAAAGTGTTTGGTTCTAGAATTAAAGTCGATTCTATGGCTAAAGTAGCAGAACTTGAATTGGCAGAAAAAGAAAAAATGAAAGATAAAGTGAACAAAATTATTGCTCATGATTGTAATGTATTTATTAACAGGTAAAATAAAAATTTGGTTGTTTGATTACCAAATAATTTTTATAAATTTTATTATTAGTATTATTACTATTATTTTTAATTCAAAAATTTAATTGTATAAATTTATTTTCTAACATCAGTAGAATATAATGAAACTTAAAAATACATGTTTCATTTATACATAGCTTTTTATCTACTGATTATTTTATTGTACTCATGCATAAAATTTTTCATATAGTTAAATTTATAGTTTTTCATATAAAAAAAAAATAATTTAAAAC